GGAGGTGAGATGCAACCAGTCACCCACCACGTGCATCGCCGTGGCTGCACGGGCGCGGTCGGGCGCTCTCGTCGTCGGCTGGGTTTCTCTCCATCCATGTGGCGGGTCGTCGCGAGTCCAGGGCTTAAAGGAAAGAAGAGAAAGGAGTAACCCTAGGCCTCCAAGTATCTTCTGAGAAGGGGTTTGGGGGTGGGTGCCAGGAGGGTCCAGTCATACCTTCTGAGGAGGTACTTGGAGGTGTAGGGTAAGTGAGTCAAAAACAAACGGCGCCGGGAAGAAACACATGGGAGTCAAAGACTATAAAGATAATGGTCTTTCGGCGACACGAGTCTAGGAATGTCCTTCACTGCAGTCGGTCAAAATATTTTCTGTGGACTTCTATATAGCTAAAAGAAGAGAAGCAAGAACGGGACAACAAACTTCATGAAAGCTACACCGCTATATATTGAGTATTTCATCGTACCCTTGGAGCCCTTGGAGTCGTTTTTGTTCCCTCCGGTAGAACCCACCGCTGGTGCACCTGCCGGTCTAGCGGGCTCAGCCGGAGGCTCAGCCGGAGGCTCAGCCGGCCTCGCCGGTGAAGACCAAGGCTCCGAAGCGGAAGGCGCCACCCGGGAGCACTGGCGGAAGGTGTTCGCACGCCAAACACCTGGGTGCGCGCGTTGTGTGGGCGCGCTGTCCCGGGGGCGAAAGCCCGCCCATGCGGTACGTATCCATTGAGCATATATTGCCCATGTGGTACTTCCATTGAGCACACTGCCGTTTCGCGGGAGTGAGTGTTTGCCAGTCACACGGGATGCGCAAGGGATGCGGCTTGCGCACCTTTCGAAATTGGACACTTGAAGAAAATCCTTGCACAAGTATCTTTCTGGAAGGGGTCAAAACAGAACTTCTACCGTAACTCGGCTGTGTCTCAATGATTTTCGATCATTTTCGATCAATTTTTACCTTTCAAACCTCGGCTTTGGACAACACAGAGGGCCCTTGTTTCTAAGCTGCGGTGAGCTCGTTCCTGGAATCTGCCCTCGCTCCGCATCCTGCTTTGGACAGCCGGTCTCTGTCGAATCCAATTGATCCGGAAATGGGATCCCGAAGAAGGGAGGCTTCTAAGGAGAACGGGTTCCCCACGAGCATGAATCGCCATGGTTGCGCAGTGCGGGTGAAACTGGCTTGACATACACGAATTCCTATACCCCTGTGGTGTTCATCTCAGGAACAAGCTGTGACAGCCCCAAGCACCACCTGGCAGTGCGAAAAGCAATTCATTCAGATACATTCAGGCAAATGTTTGTGATCTTCTTCTGTACAGCTGTGTTTCTAGGGAAGGATGATTCAAGGTTCCAAAGCGCAGATCCTTTGACAACCCGAACGTGACCTCACAGTCCCTCGTAGATCCTTTGGTCACGGACTGAAGAACCGTCGACACGAGTTCACAGCCCTTTCCTGCTCCCTCTAAAACCTGGTGAGAACACCCAGACCTTTGACCCCAAGGATAGGGTCCGACCCAAACTCGCGTCGGTCGGTCGACCGGGGCGTGTTTGGATCGTGGAAGGCACCTCCCAGCGCCTACAAGCTTTGGAGTCTGGAGCACCGTGCCATCGTGGTGCCTGGGAAGACAAGTCGGCCGGACGTTGGTGGGTTCGATCGTGTCGACCCACCTGGTGTTCGGTTGGACACGTTTTGTCTCTTCGACGTGTCCGAAAAAGCACAACCCACATGGAACCGGGCTGATGGACCAGACTGGAAGACGGTTTTCCTCTACAAACCGCAGGTGGTTTTCAGGTTCGGTCCCCATGTTTCCAGGGCGTAGAGAGGGAAAATGGGACCTGAAGCGGCTCAAAAGCATCAGACGGTGGCGCGTTGTTCACAGCCTTCGGGTGATGGGCCATTCTGATCATATACGCGATTCGACCGTCCAAGTGACCAGTTTTGATGCAAGATCACAGAAGAAGAGACGGGAGTGTGACATTCCTGATCTTTTCAAGCCTTTGCTTGAAACTATGATGGCAATGCTAGGCATATTTTTGATAATGCAGACATCACCACCTCCCTGACTGCTCTGATGTGAAGAATTTCTGCATATGAAGAATGTTTGCATATGTAAGGGGTGGATTCTGATGGTCACAGCATCAAATATAGGGAGACCGATCCGCCGGCATTCCGGTTTTCCATGGACAGTTTGGGAAAACAGACACGCGGAGGGGCGAGAAAGGGGGTAACACTGAATCCAATTCATTCAAACACACACACACACAGGACTTTTGTGGATGTTCCTTCGCGGATCGCGACCCAAAAGCCCTCGCACGTCACCTCTCTGAAGAGGTCGAAGAGCTTCAGCAGGAGGGCGCAGCAGGGCCGTGGGGCCAGACGACCTGGACATCCGGAAATTGATGGAAATCCCTGACCTTCGATGAACAAGAATGCTTGACCTGGTCGTGTATAGTGTAACATCAAGTGAAATCTATAGTCACTATAGTCCTTCAAAGACCATTTTTCACAATGCTTCAAGCAACATTTTGTAGGTGTAAAGATCATGCAAAATCCTTCGTCGAACAATGGTGGACAAGGGATTCAGGCTATTCAAATCGGTAGGCCAGGAATCCATCTGGAAAATTCCACCTGGAACTCTTTTTGTGGATCCACTGCAGGAGCTGCAGCGCAAGTTGGGGTGCTTGGATTGGGGGAGTTCCCGCGATGTGGAGCTGTGGAGCCATGTTGTCAGTCTGCAGCGGGATCAGCTTGAAGTGCATCGTGAGTACCCCTAGATGCTTGGAATTGCCTCCATATGGGAGCTACCAAAACAAGCTCCACCGCAAAATTTGATTGTTTCAGGTGGGCGTGGGGCACCAAGTATGTTATGACCTTGATTTGGTCGGCGCAGGATGTTTGCGAGAGTAGCTGGTCCCCCATATAATCCCATATATAATTCTTGGATGTCATTAGGTCACTTCTCGAAGCTACGAAGCCCAACTGGAACAGTTTTTGTTAGAAAGCTGCATGATGCAAAGCTGGTGAATATCCTCACGACTTCACTCATGAAATACCTGGATTATGGCACGGAATGGCAGTTGTTCACGTGCCAAGTGGCAAATCTTGGACGAGAGACAGTTCCTCCACACACCGAGCCTGGTTACCTCAGCAGTCGCCGCTGGAAAGATGCAAACTGCTGCAGCCACTGGCGGGACGTGCAAATCATGTAAGTGACGTACCTCCTAAATGTAACTTACATGTTTGCATGGTAATTGACCTTGGAACATGTATACTCCCTCCTACCCCTAGGGCCCTAGGGGTAGGGATGGTGCAAGTCTTGTGATTTTGGGTGACCCCCCCGTCTTCCGAGTGAAGCCAGCCGAAGTTGTAGGTCAGGGACTCACACATCGATGTGTGCATTGCATACTTCAGCAGTGGAACGAGAGCACAAGGTCGGGTACCACCACCCTCACGACCCAGTTCACCGGTTCACCTAACTAGGGCCCTTCCCAAGCTGACCGGAGACCTGAGATCTGAGTCGAGTCGGATGCTGCGTCCATAGATGGATATCGTACCATCCGTGGCCATGAGGGAGTCAGACTCAGAGACTTGGACCACCTCTGCCGAGCCAGAGCCATTCAGAATCAGTGAGCGACCTCGAGTCGATCATCCCAAGACATGAATGCACCGGAAATCCTGTTCAGATTCGAAAAAGCAGTCGACTTTCAGAATTTCAACCTTGGCTTCAGGGAACGTTCTGTAAGCTTCAGGGCTCTAATGACGATGTCAGCTACTATATAATTCTGTCTATGGCACATATATTATATTATAATGGATTTAAAAAGAATCTAAAAGACACACACTCGCACCATCACACACAAGTATTATTCTTATCAGCCCCTTTTTTCGGCCCCCTTTTGGCCTGTCTTTTCAGCCCGTTTTGGGTTCCCCCGTGACTGACCCCGGTGACTGACTCACCTCACTCAACCTCTCTTGGTTTGGCTTCGTTCGAAGGCCCACTTTCGCCGAGATCAGCAAGGCAGTCCCTGAGAGATGGAAGGCCATCGACCAGGCCGTCCTTCGACTCATCGACCACGCGCGGCACGGCTCCGCAGGGTGGGTGGTCAAAGCTGCTGTGGTTCAGGGATACGGGTTCCGACTGGTTCCGTGTGAGGCTCGCTGGAGGTCTCTGTTTTTTGTTTTTTTTTGATTGGAGTTTGAACACCTGCGCGTGGAAAAGTGGATCACCCTGCAGGTCACCTTTTGGGAGGGAGACTCTATGATTCAAGATCCACCAGTTTTCCGGGTCAGTCTGGTCATCTGGGGTGTCACCCGTGTCATGTTTCAAGGATAGGTGCCTTCCCCAAACACCATCCCAAACAAACGCAACGCCATATTAAAGAAAAACAAACAAAAGAGGTACCAAGGTGGCAGGGCCTGCATGAAGTCGCTCCAAAACGACCGGCTCCAGTTCTGCAGGAAGGAACAAAGTGAAGGAACAAGTCGTTCCCAGTGGATCCCAGTTACGTACCCCTACATAAGGCACCAGGATTTCGAAGTCTATCTTTAGAACCACTGGTCACCAGCTATAGTGGTAACCATGCTATAAGGAAGGACACATTTGGTTCAACAAATGGGCTCACAAGTATCAGTATAAGGGGTTCTTGATGTTGGCAGGATCTGAGATGTCATGAGTAAACTGGATGTAAACGGGCATTGTCCACCACCGCGTGCTACCTCACTTTAGATCAATAATACAAAGTCGAGTGTCAAGTTTCAAGCATTGACTTGCCGTTTCCTGGATAGAATAAACCGAGATGTAGACCTCAGAAACTTCATGTCTGGATAGAATACACTTGTACCTACATTCACCCCTGCAATCAACCGCCCCAATGTATGTCAATATTCAATTCCATCCCCAGACCATCCATGGGACTGGAATACCTACATTTACCCCCATTTGTGACCGGGAAAGGTAACTGTTCCAGTCCCGTCTGGGATTGCTCGCCCCGGAGAAGGCGGAGAAGGCCATGTACGAAGAGAAGGCGAAGGTCGCCAAGGCGTTGTGACGTGGGAAGGGTCACCTTTTCCTGTTGGAGAGCGAAAAAGGGAAGCATCAACAAGAGCCAGCCTATAGGTCAGTGAACGGCCGCATCTGAGTGGAGTTGATCATACATACACACTACGCAATGAGGTTCGTTTTTTTAGTTTTACTAGGTCTATGGACCTGTAGGGCCAGGGGAAGGTCTTCAGACGCTACTAGGAGCAAGGACGCTACTAATTAGGTGGAGGTCATCGGTACTAAGAACAAGAAACTTTTTAGTATGTCTTAGAAGCTTCCTTGGGAATCGTTTCACCTGTAGTAACAAGAAGCTACTAGGTCTGTAGGCCCCTTGAAAGGTCTTCAGACCACCCGTTTTGGTGACTTGCTATGTGGGTGATAGTTCTTTTCCGCTTTCCCGGGCGAATCCCCTGTTCTCCCGCTGGACGCTGGTCGGCAAATCCAAGCAAAGCAAATCATCGTTCTTTTTTCAGTTCGGTTTTTTCAGATGTGTTCTATAGCTGATCTGCTCCTGCCAGGATTGTTTTCGGTTGGAATACTCTTTTACAATTCTTCTGGACCCTCAGAGTAGCATGAACATGTTTTGTCATTGCATACTATGGTGTACGATAGAAAAGCAAAAACACCCAGGATCTGATGAAAAGAATCGCTTTGAAGCTTAGTTTAGCATACCATTAGGTAATACCCTGATGTAGAGAAGACCTCAAACTCTGCCGTCACCTGCTCTGCAAGCACGCCAAGCGCTTCAGGTGGCACAAGCTGAGGAGCTTCTTCCTGCGCGCTCCGCACGGGGTGGAAAAGCCCAGGGCGAGGCCTCCGCGGTCTGGGACGGGCAGATGGCTGGAGCTTCTTCCTGCAGCGGACCGAGGAAAACCGTCGGACTCCGGTAGTCCATGGTGTTCCAGAGTGTATGGCGGTGGGTTTTTCCCCGTGGGTGATCTGTTTTGTCCCGGGTACGTTCCGCATCGATCGGCACGTTTTCTGGATCCTTAAGCAACATATTACAGCTTCCTGGAATTATCATGGTTGCGTGGATTTCGGATGATTTCGGATGATCATGCCATCTGAATACCACGCTCAGCGGGATGGGACGTCCATTTCCATGATTTTTTTCCAGGGAATGTAGACCAATCAGTTTTTGTTTTCAAGTGGGGCAGGTTTTCAGGCATATACATTCCAGTCTGCGATGAATTCAGTCATGACCAAGATGCGCTTGGTGAGGGCAATGTGAGGAAGATGTATACCATTGTATACCGTATACTCAACGTCAAAAGGCGCAGTTTCCTTCCTGATGGGGTTGACAGGTCGACAGGGAGTTTGTGTTGACAGGTCGTTTGCTTCATTCCTGAAGTGATGGACTTCTGACTCTTTGCAAGTGCAGGATTGTTGTCTCACTAGTTGCTAGGAGTTCCGAGCTACAGGGGGTTCCGTTCAGTAGAACGACTCAGCACGTGGACTTCCTTCGCGTCGTTCCGGTCGAGATCCAAACGTCGAGATCGACGTCTCTTCGCGTCGTTCGGCTTCGCTTCTCTTGTGTGGAACTGATCTGTTTGGCCCACCCAGACCGTGTAGGACTGAGTCGGGGCTTTAGTAACCCGCGCGGACTGGAAAAGAACCTCCCGGGATGCCGCATCGGCTAGCGATGCCGCATCGGCCCACTCAGATGTGAAGAAGAGCCCGGAATTTGGTTGCATATTTTTTGGTGTTCAAGTTGAACCACCGAAGCGAACGAAGAAGCCACGTTGGAACTTCTGAATGATCCCTTGAAACTCCCTGGTCGTGAAAAGAAGTCCTCCAAGAAGCCACGTCTGCGTCGGCAGGTGCACGCCGAAGGACGCAAACCAGGCGCCAGACCCAGGGATCTGACCACGGCTTTCAGCAAAACAGATTCGCAAAAAAAGTGGCTTTGAGGTTTTCAATAGGGAGACCCCTCAACAAAAAGAGGCTAAAAAGGTTGATGTTCCGTTTTCGGGGTCTATTTCAAGAAAGTCTATGGGGCATCGTGGCATCTCCTCATTTCACAAGTAGCCCTTCTTGGAGTATCGACATCAATAGCTGGAACATGCTGTGGGACAGTACTCACTACAGAGTTTTGGGTCAGTCACGGGGTTTGTGAGCAGACACGATGTTGCTCTTTCTTCAGCGAAGTCATTTGGCGGGAAGCACGTCCAACAGATCAACCAAGATCAACCAAGCCAACCGTTTTCTATCAAGCGTTCGAGAAACGATTCTAGCCAAGACCCTTTCTGGCCATTCTAAATCTGAAATTTTGTTTTAAGTTATGTTTGCTAGCAAATTCTTGGGTTCATGAACCAGACATGCCCGGACACTGCAGCAGCGAAAACAACCTGATCAAGATCTATGTGGGCCATCCAGGATCTGGACCCACGAGTCATTCGTTCGTCGCTGCGCACGCAGCAGGGAAAGGGCGAGGGAAAGGCAAAGGGAAGAAGAAAGATGGTGAGGAGTCGCGTGGGGGGCAGACAAAAGACCAACGGAACTGTCCGGGTGTTTGAAGTGTGGGTCGAAATGTGGGTCGAACACACACACACACAAAGCCAGCACGACAAGCACACACCACAGTGACCTCTTGTGCGGGCGCTTCTTTCCGTGCGGGTTGTCCTTCGAAGTCGGAAAGAAGAAAACAAGTGCCGCACTTGAGATGTTTGAGATCCAGGTCCATGTTCATCTCAGTCATCCAAATCTAGATCGAACATATGGGGAAACCCCCATCACGCGTTGCCATGGACCATGGAAGATCTTGGACAAAAACGTTACATGCAGATTGGCTGGACACATCCTTACCTTCAGGATCATCTCAAGATCTACACACAGCATGGTGCTTGAAGATCTTTTGAGTGCATGGTGCTGCCTCGGGGTGATTTGCAGGGAAGTCATGCACAGCCCATGTCCGCTCCTTCAGAGGTCACTTCAAATGGGAGACAATCAGGGAGCCACCGCTACTAGGTTGGAGGCCATCGCTAGTATGTTGGAGGCCCTCGCTAGTAGGTGGGAGGCCATCGCTAGTAGGTTGGGGGCTTGGGGCATAGGACTTGAGTACTTTCTAGATTCCTGTGGGAGATGCATGTGTTTTAAAGGACGCCCCAACAGAGCCGAATGATGCAGAAGTGGCGCGCTTCTCAGGTTGCTTTTGTTGGTCCCCGTCCAACATCCTGAGTATGTGGAGGGCATGGCTTTTCCCTAAACAAAGGGTTTTAAGGACTTCAGAGGTCAGAACCAAGCCTGGGCAGCCTCAAATTGGATTTCATTTCCGTATCCGTTTTCCACCTCGCAGGAGCCTGTCATGACCCGAGCAGACTTCTTCCGCCAGAGCCCGACCATTCGCTGTGCCACTGGGACGAGGAAGCGGAAGCGGAGGTCGCCAGCGGAAGGTCAACGACAAGACAACAGGACACAACCATCCCAGGGCCCCCCTTGGCAAAAGGCTTGTTCTACTAAGACTACGACGCGAAAAAAGCAGGTTCCGGTTCCCGTCCGAGCCCAGCTGTGGGAGGTGCCACCGTGCGCCACGGCGCGTGAGTTGGGGTCCAGCGAGGGCATCCACGACATGTGCCGAGTCGTCGACTCATGCACCCGGATGTTCTCCCAAAGGGCAGCAGCTGGGCCTAATATATATATATATATATATACCAGCACCCTCCAACAGGCTGTTAGTTGAGGGTTGTTGGACCCTAACAGGTCGAACCATTGGTGACCTGTCGGAGGGTCCTGGTATATGACTGTTGGTCAAAAACCGCAGGTCGACCCTGCTAGGTTGACCATGTCTGGTAGTCTGTTCATGTTCGGTGGGAAAAAAACCAGGCTCCCCGGCTTTCAGTGGGAGAGGAGATCGAAGGATACCGAGGATCGTTGAGCTGCAAAGCACCTTTTCGGACACGCGGTTGGTTTCAGTTGATGTTGTTCTTTTCAAAACTCAACTACACTTCAAGTCAAAAATGACCTTCTGGATCGGGGTCGTCGAGTGTTTCTGCGATTTTGGAGAAGGGGAGAAGGGCAGCCCTCCGGTGGGTGGCTGCGTCATGAATCTCATGACCCAAGGAGCCAGCGTCGTTGCCATCCATCCAGCCACGGGAAGATTCAGATGGATTTTGTGGACTGAGCACAGGGATTTGAGGACTAAGTGCAAAAAAAAATGCGTTGAACGCTTGTTGAACACAGGGTTTGTACCTCCTTTCCCTCCTTTGGTTGCAGTTTCTGATCCCCAGCGATCCACCACGAAATCGCGGGTTCGCCTCCGAGCGAGACTCGGTCGGTCGGTGACCGCTGGTCTCCGGGGTCCACAGCATGACGACTCCATCCCCACCCTCGGTGAGGTCAGTTGGACCACCTCGGTCAGGTCGAACAGCTCATCCAGTTGAAGGTCGGGTTTAACCTACATCCCGGTGTTTTTCCCCAAGCCCAGGGGGGTCTCAACTGGACTGGATTATACAAAAGCACTACTCATTGAGGTTGTCAGGACCAGGTGATTTCTGGATCAAACTGGACCTCTATAGGCTAGGGATCTACAAAAAAGGGTATGAGACACCCATTCCGAATGTCCCTTTGCCTTTTTGGGACACCAACCCTGACGCTGGCGATTTCCGGTCACGTCCCAAGCGGAAAGGAGGAAAACAGACATGATCCCATACCCTGGGAGTCAAAGACTATAGAATGGTCTTTAGGTGACCCGAAAGGGACTATCCTATTTACTTCAGTCGGTCTAAATATAGTCGAACTGGACTTCTTGAAGCAAGCCACTGGGTGTGTAAACTGAGCTTCGTGACCGTTTTCGTGACGTCACGTATATAAGTCTATCGCGACCGGTCTATTGAGATCGTTCGATCGTTCCTTCGGTCAGGAACCGAAGGACCAGGAGCCAGCTTGTTTGATCTTGTTTGTTCCTCCCAAGTGACTGTGCTCTCTTTTCGGATTCCATCAATTCACACTCAAGACTTGCTATAGGAAGGTATCAAGATGTATCAAGGTCTAGGCTAGCCAAAAAGAGGTATATACGTGAATTTGGGTACCTGAGAGTTTGGGACACTATAGCAATTAAAAAAGGAAGTGACATTTCAAGACACCTAAGCTTAAGGGTATTTTGAATAGGTCCTGAGATGTCCTGAGATCATCTCACATCATACTATAATCATAGTGGCTGTGCTGAATTTCTGCGGCCATTCTGCTTCTGAGGCCTTTGACGTGCCGGGTGTCAAGGTGCCTTCGGGGAGTGTTCAGGGTAGTCCAAGGTTGAATGGCATAGTTTCCCAGACACTAAAAATGGGGACTGGCACATTCGCCAATCATCAGTTGGAGTGGATTCAGAGGTACATAATCCCAGGGGAGTAGTAGGGGAGTCTACTGGGTAGTGGTTTCAGACACGACTGTTTTTTCCCGAATGCGTAGCGAAGGGTTCTCGTTTAACTCTGAGGGTCTGGGGGTAGAGCCTTGTTCGCGACCCGTTGTTTCTATGTTCGCAACCGTCCGCAACCGTTCGCAACCGTCCGCAACCGTTCACAAGTGACCGCAACCGTTGGCAGTAGGGCGCTAAGGCGCTGCCATTGGGGGAAGCTTTTGCAAGGGACTTTGCATGGATGTGTCACGTGTCAGTTTGCGCCGCTATTCCATTGTGATTCGCATGACAATGACATATCGCGCAAGAAACGTGATGCATTTCACTGCACAGGCGCAGGTGTTTGTGAGATCTGCAGTTTGCTGCGCAGCTCCATTGGGATTAGCGTTTGGCGAGTCGTGTTTTTGGGGTGTTGGATGTGGCCGTGCCATTGGGATTTGCGTTTCAGGGTGTGGCATCGAAGCTCTGTTTTCGTGACAAGTCGCAGCTGAAATGCCGATTTTGGTGGATGGGAGTGTGCTCAGAACGGGTCGAAATCATTCCAACCGTGTGGTGTGGGCAAATTTTGTTGAAGCTCACATGAGATGATATTGTCACTTTTCGTGGCAGGCGCAGTACTTTGTGAACCTCCATGTGCAGATTTCGTGGCAGGCACAGCACTTTGTGAACCTCCATGTGCAGATTTCGTGGCAGGCGCATCACTTTGTGAGCCTCCATGTGCAGATTTCATGGCAGGCACAGTACTTTGTGAACCTCCATGTGCTTCTTACGAGACTTGACGTGTGACTTTTGGAGGAAGTCTCGTAAGAAGCGCTCGTTTTGGAGACTTGACGCGTGACTTTTGGAGGAAGTCTCGTACGAAACGCTCGTCTTGCAGCCTCAAAGCGTGACTTTTGGAGGACGTCTCGTACGAAACGCTCGCAGGACTGCTTCTAGTGTGCCACAAGAGTGTCCCACAAGAGTGTCCTACAAGAGTGTCCCACAAGA